ACACGGGTACGGTAAGGTCCCTGTCTCTTATACACATCTAGATGTGTATAAGAGACAGGGTTTATGTACCTGATTTGAGCTGGTTGTTTGCACTTTCCCTTGTTATTGTCGATCGCCTTTTCACTGCTCCAGGAGCCTGGTACAAGATTGGTTGGAGAGCTCAAGCTATTTGGGCTTTGTGTTTTCGTGGAACATAGTTTTGAGCGGATTTCCTTTTAACTGACCCACGAGCCTGGTATGAGCTCAGCCGGAGAGCCTTGCTCATCCCAACAGATGGATAAAACAAGCAACAATGAATTGTCAGAAGGGACGGTGGGTGCATTTCCCAACGAGCGCTATAATTCAGCCTTGCAGCACGGGGTCCCTCGTTTGAAAAGGGCAAAAAAAAAAAGAGAAAAACATGGACGGATGGATAGAAACAAGCAGACACTGAATTGTCAGAAGACGAGAAAAGACAAAACACGACGGACATGGGTTGCCGTAAAACGTGAACGAATTCAGGGTGTTGCCACACCACTCTCGAAACATGAAAAAGGCAAAAATGTGGTGGGTGCATCTGGCCATGTTCTGGCAGGAGGTTCATTCTCATTTTGCACATTTCGAGAGTGGTGTGGCGATGCCCTCAGAGCCATAACAAGTGCAGTGCTCTCCGTACTAAAATTAAACAATACTAAGAGAGCCGTCATGGGACTGCTATTTCATTCAGGCTGCAGAAATTCTCAGGTGGAAAAGGTTAAAGTCGAAGGAAAGCAGGGGAATGAGGTGATAAAAAAAAGAAAAGGGAAAGAAAAAAGAGAGCTTACCAGCTCTGCTCTGTCTGCTTCAGGATCAACAACTTCTTCACCCTCGTAATCATGAGTAAGTGCCGGAGAAAAGGAGCCTGCTTCGGCATCGGCACCTGCCTCTTCGATTGGCATGAGCTCCGGTGAGAATGACCCTATCTCATTACCATCATCATCCTCCCTAGCCAGCTGTTTCTCCCTCTCCTTCATCTCTGCCTTCTCCCTCTCCTTGGCCTCTGCACGTTCTCGTTCCTCTGACTCTTGCAGCCGCGCTAGGTGCTCTTTCAAAAGACCTGCATGAATCTCACGCAACCGTGCCTGCCAGTTTCATGTGTCAGTTCTCTCTCTCTCTCTCTCTCTCTCTCTCTCTCTCTCTCTCTCTCTCTCTCTCTCTCTCTCTCTCTCTCTCTCTCTCTCTCTCTCCTGCAAGCCCATTACCTTGGGTGTTCGCATGTGCATGGCGCACATGACGCTCGTCTGCTTTTTTTTTTGGTTTTTTCCGATCCAAGTCTCACCTCACTGTTGGCTATACTGCCTTCACCCCTGCCTTCGTCCCCAACCCGCCTTAACCCCTCACCGACACCCTTGCTCACATTTCCCAATTCCCTTGCTCCCCTCCTCTGCTGCTGTCTTTCCCATAACATACCCAGCACTTCGCCACCTTTTACTCCTCTTAAGTGAAAAGAGGGGTGCAAGAGGGGAGAATTGACTCCATGAGCCTAGATGGACATCACAGACAGTGAACATAACTTGGCTGAAGCATCAGCAGAGAAGTGAGTAAACGGAAAAAAAAAAAAAAAGCCATGACACGATGAGCTCAGGTGAGCATCAAAGAACAGTGAGCATAATTCTGTGAAGCATTAACAAAGAAAATTAACGCAGAAGCAAGTTCACGCAACCATAATTTCATATTTGAAAAAAAAAAAAAAAAAGTGAATGCCAGGCCAAAGTTCATAGTGCCGAGGCCAAGTACAGGTTCAGTGGGAAAGGGCTACCAACTTACCAAGGTACCACCTTCATTTTTCCGAGGGCCTGCACTGTAGATTTTCGGCCCGACAAAAATGCATTATTTGGCTCGTCAATTTAGCTTCTCCATCCCTCCCTCACTCCCTCACTCCCTCCCACCCTCGCTCCCCTCCCTCCCTCCCCTCCCACCTTTCTTCCCTTCTGTCCCTCCCTCCTCCCCCTCGTCTCACCCCCCAAAAGAGTAAGAAGCAACCAGATTCATCCACTTTTGCGGCATGTAGATGAACAGAGTAGACAGATTTGTGAACACATCACGTGGTGGCATTCTCTCCCTCTTGTTCCCTCAATATTCCTTCCCTACTCCACATACACGCACCCCCCCCTCTCTCTCTCTGTCTCTCTTACATTGCCTTTATTTCCTTCCTCCCCTCAGCGCAACAATAGAACAAGAAAAGCTTTAGCTAATTTAAATAAAAAGAAATTCTGAGAAACAATAACGAGCGAGTCAATAAAGTGAAAACAAAACAAATAAAAATCCACAAAAAACAACAACAACAAATTCGAGGTCAAGGACAAACCTTGGCTTTGAAGATCTGCAAACGCTTCAAGACCGCCTCCCAGTACTCCACGATTTTCGCAGTTCCGTCTTTCATTTGCATTTCGATACGATCCTCTATTTCACACAATTCTGCATGGCTTTTCCCAGTCAGCATGGCTCGGACGTCAGCCTCTACTGTCGCATGTAATCCCAACTCCTCTGCCACAACATCAGGTGGAGGCTCCTCTCCTGCACCAGGAAGAAAAAAAATCATCACGTCACACGCAGCACCACCAAGTTGTTTATTTAATTACACAGTTATTATAACTATGAACCGTGCGACATCACACGGAATGAGAGTCTAGACATTGACATCCTGAAGCAACAGAAAGAGAACCAGCAGACAGCAGACAGAGGAATGCATTTCAGGTTTTTCAGCATGTACCTGCCTTGTGGCTGCTGAGTCATATACACATGCAATGACTTGCTGATTTCTGCTGCCGAGATTGACAGCGAGGCTGTACACTAACCCGGTAGGTTAGATTCATAATTTTGTTTGGCTGAGGGCTAACCGAGAGACCTGCCTGTAAGGAAATTCGTGAGGGACAGATCTGCAAATCCGGGAAAATACAGACCCGGTACTACCGAATTCCTACAGCTACCCTAACTGCCTATAGCAGGCCCGGGCTACCCCAAGGACAGACAGGCCCTAAGCGGCCTATACTGTTAGACGGTCCTATAGCCTATAGCCGGGTCCGGTAGAGGCCGAGAGGCCGAAAACACGGTACCGGTCGGTCAGTCAGTCCGTCTAGGTCTAGAGAGTCTATAGATAGGTTAGGCTCATGGGTTCAGGACTTTTTGGGCAGTTCATTTCTCGCGAGCAGCGTTGGAGAAGCCAAGGAAGTTGGTGGCGGTACCGGTCTACAGGCGGCATCCTGAGACAGTCCGCAACAGCAGCCATAGCCGGCCCTCACTGAGTCTGCCATAGCTGGGGCATCCTCAGCGCATCTACCCCTGGGGGTATCTGCGTCTGGCCGGGCTACTTCGAGGCTCTACACTGAGTGGTTCGTGGGTGGTGGCAGCCATAGCTGCCTGTTTCTTCGTCAGAGTTGTCCATCGGCACTGAAGACTTCATCGCAGGACCTGTTCTTCATCAGGGTGGTTGGCGCTGGCCTCTGGGAGGCTGTTCTGATGCAGCGCTACTAACTGGGTGTAGGATAGAGAGTGGGGTGTGAGTTCTGAGTGTGGCGAGATACTGGCACAAACTCTGTTACGATAATTGTGTGAGTGGCTCATCATCAGTGACAGTTTCAATTGTGATCTTCGCAGGTTCTTTCTTGTGATTGGTTGTTGGGAGTTGTGTCAGAGAGTGAGAAACACTGTGTGTCTTCTCCCCTGCTGTGCATAATTGTCTTCCGCTGTTTATCTTCACCTGTGTGCAGTGTGGACTCTGTCTCCTCTCTCCCCTTCTCTTCACCTGTGTGCAGTGTGGACTCTGTCTCCTCTCTCCCCTTCTCTTATGCATGTATGGGCATGTGTGAGATTGTCTGTGTGTGAGTGGCGAGAAAATTCGCCAGACAACCAAGTTCATAACACACATGCTAAATGACTGCTGAGCGAGGCAACAGGCCAGCAGAGAAAGGAATGCACAACAGGTATTTCAGTATGCGCAATGTACCTGTCTTGGGGCTGCTGAGTCATATATATACACATGAAAATGAAACGGTATTCACCAGTTCGCAGTAGCCGATGCAGATCCCAGGGCTCGATCCCTAGTCCCCACCTTACCTGTGTACAGTATCTGTGTCGACCCCTAGAGTTGAACCCGTGACCTGTGTATTTGTAACAGCTGGTAGACTGTCGTAGGGTCCATAGGTAGCAGGGGTTCGATCTGTAGACCTGTCGAGTAGGAGTCTTAGTCAGGTCTAGGAGTCGTAGCTGTAGATTTCCCGAAGGGTCAAGGTTGTAGCTGCTACACTCCAGAAAGGTCAAGGTCGTAGCTGCTACAGTATCGAAAGGCCAAGTCTACGGCCTTCCGGAAGGTCCTAGCAGTGACCTTTCGAAGTTGCCCATGTTTAGGCTGAGGCAAGTGGGCAAGTGGTGGAGTCTACCCGTGCTGAGTCAGCAGTCCCAGTCCCAGTCAGTCCTGGTCCACTCAAGCAAGTACCGCGTGGGACTGTGTGCACTACAGGCATGGGAAAGGGCCAGACCAACGAGCTGCAGAAGTATAAATCAGAGGGCAGCGTCCAGCCCTTCATTCATTCCTGCGTGAGCCATGCCGAAGCGCTGCCAGGTGGTCTGCAGTGAGTCCGAAGACGAAGTGGGCAGAGAGAAGGAGCGTAGCCATAGCGATAGGGTAGCAGCGGCCATAGCCGCCATAGCTGTAGTAAGAGTTCAGCGTGTGAGTGTGTGTGAGGGATCACAGTATCGCGTGTGGGATATCCAGGGTGATCCTGTGTGTGCGAACAGAGAGTTGTGTGGGCGCTGAGGCGCCATAGCCATCTGAAGTGAACTTGTGTCTGAGTTGCGTTCGGTTGCCATATCTCTGAGTTTTGAGTGGGCGCTTGTCGCCAGTTTGCTGCACACCTGTTTGCATGCATGAAAAGTGTGAATGAGAGCGAGTCTGATTGCAAAAACACTGCTAATAAAACAGACCATGCGTTCAAATCCTGATGGATACAATAATCATAGGAGCTCTACCCCCTTTAAGAGAGAAAGGAAAGCCTTCGGGTTCACCGGCTGAGATAGTTGGCTTGCCCCTTCTGGTTGGTTAGGAGGTAGCTGGGGTGTCGCCTTCTAGCTCACGCCAGGTGTTAGGCATTGCAGGGGTGTTTAGGCACGAGTGGAGGTCGGTGGAGGTCGGTGTCAACCCATAACTGCAAAATCCAACAATTCCTCTCTGTAACTAGGACAGAGGACTGTGGCATACTGATACCACACGGGCCCCAGTTAGGGCCCGGTCCTGTAGTAGGCACGGGTTAGGCCTAGGTACCGGGTCACGACAGTCCCAGCTAGGTCCACGTAGGCCTAGGAACCGTCGTTTCAGATTAGAGTCCCGTAGGCCTAGTTTTAGACCCCACCAGACCCAACGGCTAGTTTCGTTAGGCCGGTACCGGTCCATCAGCAGGACCGGCCGGCGGCACAGTTTAGGCTCCACTTTTCATTTTGAGATTCAGATCTGAACCGTTGATCGGATCAACGGTCCAGACCCGAAGGTACCAGCAGCATTGAGGCTGGTCCAGCGCTATATCAGCTGGGTACCAGCCTCAGCAGGGAGGTTAGGTTAGTACAGCGTTTCGGTTGGCATAGCGGAGCAGCAGGGAGAATTAGCGCAGCAGAGAGAAAGATTAGCGCAGCAGCAGCGAGTAGCACCGGCCCTCTGGCTCAGCCCGCAGCCCAGCGCCCAGCACTGCAGCGCCATAGCTTTACCGCCAGGCTCGGCCTCAGCGGACATCAGCCAGGACAGCGCGGCCATTCCGTGATCAGGGAGAAAGGCTCCGCCTTTCCTCCCTCTTCCTTCTCTCCTTCTCCTCTCTCTCTCTCTCTCTCTCTCTCTCTCTCTCTCTCTCTCCTCCTGCCCTCAAAGTCTAAGTTTACTTCTTGGGTTACCCCTACTGGACTACTATGAGTACGAAGGATGGTTATGAGTTCTGATCATATTGGAGATAGCAACATTGAGACTGCAGGTTGAGGACTACTTTTGGGATCTGATTTCATCTACCTCTGGAGATGTATCTTGATTCTTGACATTGTGAGATCGATATCTGAGACACTGTGAGACTCTGAATTCGTGACATTTTGGATTTTCGCTACTTCTGACATTTCGAGATACTATTTTTGGAAACATTGAGTTGACATCATCTTCCCTCTCCTCCTCCCTTCGTCTCTCCTCCCCTCCATTCATCTGTGTATGAGAGTTGGCCCTGGCCTTTTCTTCCATGTCCAAGGCCAGGGCTTTCACACCTCCGATGTATGTTTGTGAGGGATTGGTTGCAGTCTGAGTCAGGTTTGAGTCAGTCCATGTATATCAAGTCTTTCGCTGTAATTGTACTTACTCTGTATTATCTGGTCTGTTCTGGGAATCTGCGCCATACTTATGACTGTGTTTCACGAGTATGCAACAGGACCCATAACTGGACTTTAAGAGATTAGGTAGCATGAGGCATATGAGAGAAGGATGTAGCTTACTTATTAAAAAAAAAAAAAAAAAAAAAAAAAAAAAAAAAAAAAAAAAATTTTTAAAAAAAAAAAAAAAAAAAAAAAAAAAAAAAAAAAAAAAAAAAAGAGAAGGAAAGCAATTTTTTTAGGAAAAGAAAGAAAGAAGAAATTGGAAAAAAAGCTAAAAAAACGAAAGCACGAGGTATGAAGAGGATTTTATGACGTCAGCACTATCAGTAACTCGTCAACGGTTTCTCGATCAGTAAATCGTCAACAGTTTCTAGCAGCAGAAGAAGACGAAAGAAGACGAAAGAAGACGAAAGAAGACGAAAGAAGACGAAAGAAGACGAAAGAAGACGAAAGAAGACGAAGAAGACAAAGAAGACAAAGAAAATCACAAAGCTGAAGACGAGGGAGAGGAGGGGGAGAAGGACGAGGACGGCAACGAGAGGAAGAAGCAGACGACAAAGAAGACAAAGAAGACAAAGAAGACAAAGAAGACAAAGGCGGCAAAGAAGACAAAGAAGACAAAGAAGACAAAGAAGACAAAGAAGACGATGAAGAAGATGACCAAGAGGAAGAAGAGGGAGGATAACGACAAGAGGACGAAGAAGAAAGCAGAGCAGAACAAAAGGAAAGGAAAACATACATACCCCTTACTCGTGCTCGATCGAGTGCGTCCCTTTTCCTAGCCTCCGCAATCTCGTAGTTACAGACAACCATCATCGCGTTCCAAAAATCGACGTGTGTCGGAGTCACCCTGTCAAGCTCTTGATGCATACGGATGTCCTCTCGCAATTCCTCCATCTCCTTCACCGTTAGCCCCTGTTCAGAAAGTACCTTGCTGTTAGCTGTCACCAATCAATCATTTTTTACACATTTAAACATTTTCATTTTGTGTTCTTTTTTAAATTCGTTGAGCCTCTTGAGAGGTGGTCAGTTTTCGCGTCTTCATCGTCTTCTTCGATGAGTTGAGAACATGAAAATGCAAGTTTTTGTTGGACACATAAAAATGTTTTTTGTTAGGATGGAAATCGTTTACGTGTCCAAGAGCCATCCCCCAAGGTGCATGCATGCTACAGTCCTGCAGCTCGGTTCCGGATGTGCACCGGAGTTCAGCAACCACAAATAACGCAAACTGTCTCACCGCAGGTTGCGTTATTTCCGCTCTGAAGGGATTTTTTTGTCGGGGCGGAAGAGAACTGCAGGGCAAGCTTTGCCGAAGCGCCAGCGCATCTTTTTTTTCCTCTCTTTTTGCTTTTGCCTGGCGCCGCCAGCCAATTGTGGTCCGGTAGCACCGTTCATCCGAAGAACCAGACTGTTAACATTTTCGATTCTCGACATCGGTCCAACCTGCAATGTTGACGAACCTAGGCACTGGTAGTTTATGAGGACAAGAGTACAAATACTACAAACCGTCGTCTAATCACGCATTGGGGTGTGGACTGGAAAGTAGTAGAACCTGGGCGGGTGGTGACAGGAACTCGCTCCACTTCACAACGCTCTACATGCATTTGGACGCTTTCTGGACCAGGTACATTCAAACGAGTTCACCATTTTTTGAATCCACTAAGTTCAGAAAGCGTCCAAATGCATGTAGCGTTTTGTGTGTTGGAATGAGGTCCATAGTCCAGAGGGCGAAGAGAACAGCACATCTACTGGAATTGGGAAGACCCTTGCATTGTGAGTGGTGAGGGGGGAGGGGGGAAGACCCTTGTGTAAGGGCCCTGGGTGCAGCTACTGAGACAGAGGTCGAGCCCTCAGAGCCTGGGCTCGCCCAGTCAGACAGGACAAAAGAGAGTGAGGCTCACTCACTCTCATTCATTCTGGCTGGCTGGACGGCCGCGGCAGCGCTGCTGGAGCACTTGCTGACTGGACGAGAGCTGGGCCCTGTGGAAAAGGGCACTGTCGTATTAATCTACGATGCCACAGTGGCCCGGGACTTCAAAAGTAACATTTTTTAAAAAAAAAACTTATCAAAAACCCACCTGCCACCACTCTCCTGTCCCTCCTTCCACTAACTCTTTCTCTTTTTTCTCTCAATCTCTGCATGTGCCAGTGTTTCTACTCGTAATGGATGCAGAAGGCGAATAAAGAGAGAGAGAGAGAGAGGGAGAGGGAGAGGGAGAGGGAGAGGGAGAAGGAGAGGGAGAGGAAGAGGGAGAGGGAGAGGGAGAGGGAGAGGGAGAGAGGGAGAGTAAGAGGGAGAGGTCCCGCCATGCTTAGCATATGAGCTGCATTACGAGTTTCGTGGCGAGGTATAGATGATATCCACTGCATAGCCAGAAGGAGCGAAAAACACACGGACGATTACAGATTTACAGTGCATTCATGACTGCATTGTTGACTATTAACAGCTTAAACCCCGCCCGTACACTGCCCCAGCCTTGCTGAAAAGAAAACTCATCGCCTACCAAATTTTCGGAGGTCCAGCGCCGTAGATATAAATCCAATCGGTGGCAGGCGGCCTCCGAAAAAAGGGCCCGCAGCCGATAGCTGGATGTACTGGTGGTGATTTGACAAGAGACTACGTGATCACAAAGAGAGTCCCAACTAGCCAGTAGAAGATATCACTAACACACACAAATTGGAGGATCGCTGGAAAAGAAAAGAACGAGCCCACGCAGATTGCCCACCTTGTAGATCTTGTATGGCTCATTTATCTCGATGTCGAAGTCATCTGACAGGTTTAGATTCTTGGACAGCACATCTATGGGTTTTGCCCTTCCTTCACGTAACCGAATCTCCGACCTGACCTTCGATTGGTCAAAGTGAAACTGCAGCAGATAAAAAAAGAAGACCAGCATCATCAACCGCAAAAAATGTCAGAGAGATGGGGGAGGAGGGGGGGGAGGGGGGGGGGGGGGGGGGCGGGGGGAACAGGGAAGAAGGAGCAAACCCAAAACAACACCGATGTATATGCAAATATTATGCATAACTCTTGCCAGTCAATCAAAAGCTGGAGCATTTGCTTCTACAACATGAAAAATTTGGAAAAACTTTGGAAAACATCGAGCATCGAACAGGAAGCCGTCCGCCATCACTCCTGAATGCCAGTCGACAATTGTTAGTAGTATTTCAATTTCAACAAACAAGAATTTCCCAGACCATAAATATTAAATATGCCAGGGGAATTTATTTTCTTTTTTTTATAAATCAATTGAACATCCGAGGGATGGCAGCGGTTGCCATCATTAATAAAAATTGCTCTCTCTCTCTCTCTCTCTCTCTCTCTCTCTCTCTCTCTCTCTCTCTCTCTCTCTCTCTCTCTCTCTCTCTCTCTCTCTCTCTCTCT